GTATAAAATTATTTAAAAAGAAAAACCAAGTATCATTATTGTATATTACAGAAACTAAAACAAATCGATCTACAGATGGTACACAAGAACTAAATGCATCATCAGTATTACCAAGTAGTGGTTTATCGTCTTCCCCAGTTACAAGTACTCCATCAAGTACTGTACAATTTGCGGTCTTCTGTTCATCAAAAGAAGCTCGAGTAAATTTAATAGAACTTGTAATATCAAAATTAAATTCATTTATTTATCTATATTTTAAAGGTATTTTCATTACCATCTCAAGTTTGTATATCAAAACAAAAAATTTTCGATTCACTCGGTTCATCAGCATCAAATATCATGCGTGCATCGGTTGTTAAAGTAGCAGGTTAGATGAAAAAGAAAAACTATCATTCGTTTATCAGTATTTGTTTTTTTTTTTGTCTTCAATAGGTTCTGCTTGTTTAACATGTTATTTATCAGCTGGTCGTATACAAGTGTATAGTTTACCTAGTTTACGTGAACTTTTTAATACAAGTCTTGATTCAGTTATGGATTCATTCAGATCAATGATAGGTTTAACATTTACATTTACAAATCGAGGTCATGGACTATATATGTGTTCACCAACGGAAATTCAAAAAATTACACTCTCTGCTGATGTTAAGTATGTAATATGATTAGCATTTGTTAATTTTCAACGATTTGATATAAGTAGATCAGAGACAAAATGACAATAAGTGTTATGAGGTTTAGTGTACACATCATAACAGTTCAAAGGGGAGAATATGGAATAGGATAGGATTAGGTCTTGATGTCCTGTAAATTTGAGCACCAATTTCTAAAGTTTTTATCTTCAAAAAGTGCGTTGATTGAGTGTCAAAAATCGACAACAGATTGCAGGAGATTATAACAACTGATATCCAAAGTTCTCATCTATACAATGCAAAAACAAATAAGGAAAAAGGCTATCACATTAACGCAAAAGATAAGCTAATGAGTTTTATATCATTTGGTTCGGATGTTGATACTTATTGTCTTTTACTGATCTTAATGGTGCATCAAATTTGTCTTTATCTTCTTCAATTTCTTATACTTCTGCACAATTAAAGCAATTCGTATTGGAAAAAAACTAAAAAGAAAATAATGATTCAACAAAAGCATCGGCACTTCAAAAGCCTACTTTTGAAATGTGCAAAAATTATTGCTTTTGAACTCGATTGAAAAATACAATCTAGGCAGTGTATCGATTGTGTAGAGTATTCTGTTCGATCCAATGAAGTAGGGCAGGAAACCTTTTTTGCAATGAATTTTCGACAACAGGGAAGAGTATGAAAATATTGCTCTGTGAACATCTGTGGTAGACAGGTCACTATACCAGTACGATATTCAGGTATTGGTTAATGTTAGTACTAACATTAATTAATACTAAATATCATTCAATAACAATATTAAGTTGCCCTGACTGAGTGGTTATGTAGTTCGACATGTATTCAAAAGATACTCTATGCAAATTTCACTCTCACCAAACATGGAATGATCTTAAGCAAGTCACTAACGACTATTTGTCTCAGATCACTTGTACAATAGCATGCTGATTACGTTGTGAAATACACCTACTTTTATCGCTAGCTAGTGTTTATGGAGAGTTCAAGTAATTGACCACAAGAATTCTCTGGATCAGACTGGCTTTTCTATCCACATCTATAGTTAGAATATTCTTCTTTATTAAATATCACATTATATTGAAATTATATCATGTCTAAAGTTTAAAATAGAAAAATTAATTATTTTCAAATATTTCTCGAAAATGATTTGATATTAATAACAATTTTCTTTTGTATCTATTTAGAGAACAAATCAATGAAATGCTTTGTGAATTATATAGTCCATCAATATCAATGCCTGAAGCACCAAAACAAAATTTTTTTGCAAAATTATTTGCTTCAAACTCAATGATTGATACCGATCAATTATGTAAATTTGTTTGAAATTAACAAAGAAAAACTTTCTATTGATTATAATCTTTTTTTTTTTATTAATAGTTGGCGAAACAGCTGGAAAAGCTCCCGCTGGTGTTGTTAAAAAAGAAGATGTTAATGTTAATATGAATCAATTACGTGGAACAGCTGACTCAGCTAATAGTGTTATACATGATACACGAATGGTGAGAAACGAATTTTTTTGTTAATTAAATAATTAAAGTTTTAATTTTTCTTTTGTTTGTTTGATTAGAAATTACTTGAACGTGGTCAAAGATTAAATGAAATAGATCTTGCATCAAAACAAATGGCTGAACGTGCTGAAGAACTTTCTAGTCTATCACATAAAGTTATGTTAAAACAAAAAGAAAAAGCTGAATGGCCATGGCCATTTACATCAAAAAAATAGTGATTTATTTTTATTTCTCATTTTGGACTTATTGAAATATTCTAATACTCTTTAATCGGATTTTTGTTTTCCTACCTTATACATGAGTGCAATATATCCTTAATTTCCCTATTTTAATCGCACTGATGTTGTTCATTATTGTTGTTTTTGTTGTTGTTCTTGTTGTTGTTGTTGTTGTTATTGTGTATGTGGATTTATTTTATAGTTTTTTTCGCGATCGACACATGCAATAATTCTTCACAGACTACATACTTACAACTAATTCATATGTTTTATTTTGTATCTATATTTACGACGAACAGTGACTTTAATCATAATCAAAAATATGTATGTGTGGAAACGAAAGAAAATAATATTTGATAATAGCAATGTTTCTATTTCTGATCATAAAAAAAAGTCATTTTTTTTCTTGTCCCCTGCGTGTTCATCTTTCTTTTTTTCCGAATGATGATCTCATATATGGAAACCCTCTTTTTTTCTCGCCCTAATTTGTAATCCCTCTTATATTTTTGTTGGTGTTTAAAAGAAAAAGAAACTTTTTACTCGTGCGCGTATTTAAATAAAGTGGCATCGTTTATTGCAAAACAAAGGTCAAGGAATGTCGTGTACGAGAACAAAACTTTGATCAAATTGATCAGTATAATGGAGAATAACAAAGAAGAAGACATGCAACTACATCGAATATAATCTATGTTTCAATTGCATTTACTTGTTATTAGAACTAATATTATTATTGCATTTGTTCTATGTCTTATGAGACAAGTTCTCTGATTGATTAATTGCTTTTGAGACGGGACTATATGCATAGTGTAGACCTTAATGACTTATGAATATGCTGAAAAGAGTTCGAACTGGTCGTTGATTGCTGCTAAGATATTGTATTTGTACGGTATTTTCTAACTTAATGCCATGATTCTTCCAGGCAACAACAACAAAAACCTGAGTTTCGTATTTCGAATCGAAAATTTGCATAATGGCAGATCTTAATGAGAATATCCTAAGACACAATTATGATAAACGAGTATCTCTTGCCTCTAATTATAATTGGCAGACTTTCTTTGTTACCTGCTTTTATTATACAATGATATTTCAATGGTTTGATTTGTATATGATTAAGTATTTTAAGATTCAAATAAGATAATATTTTATAAACACGATCCATTGTCTTCAGTTTTTTGTTTTTTGATTCCACCTTTCAGTACTGGAGACGAATCAATAGCTGTATTTTTCTTAACTTTTTTTATTAGGGTGAATATAGAAAATGTGATGACAAAAAAGTAGCAGTTACTATGTGACATAACAGTATATGTTTTGTTATAATCTTTTTCGAAAAAATGTTAGTTAAAAAAAGCTTTCAAATTATTTAGCTGAAAACATTTGATTGAAAACTATTATTGAATCAAAATGATTTCTTTTTTTTTGAAAAATTCTGAAACACATCATGAAGTTTTATGAAACTAGAAAAGTTTCTTTTTATCATTCGTAGAATTATCAAACAAAATGATTACATGGAGTATATACGGAAGAAAATATATCTGTTTATTAAAAGAATTCTATCGAAATTCAATATATGAACCATCGGAAGACAATATTTTGGTCAGTGTCTTACAATCGAGCCTGGTTTAAGATCGATTGTGAGGATGAGTCCGAGTGCAAATTCGCTAAAATAGTTTGTATCTCTAATATAATCTCATACTTCGCAATCAATGAGATCTTGACGTTTCACAATATTTCTACTTTTTCAGACTGCTAATTTATGTAAAAGCATAGGAATGAAAATCTGAGCAATTTATTGTACTTGAGAACAGATCACAGAAATGAAGAGCAGTACTATTTACTAAAACAATGCATTTTTTAATGAAAATTCATCGACAGATAATAATACACCAAATGACGAAGCAACTGAATACATGGAGAAAAAAAGTGATCATGCATTATCGTGACGAAAAAAGCATTCATATATGTATCCACAAATTATGACGTTTGGCCCCAACACTGCATATCATTGCAGCGTCATGAGCAGCAAACAAACGTATACTTACCCAGATCGAACAGATTCTAGAAGTAGAAAGAAATCAAATGCATTCTGAATTACTTGCTTTTTTGTGAAATCTGAGACGGTCTCGTGTTTTTGTTGCTGTTTATGGAAGCAAACTGAATAATTGATATAGTTTTTCATATAAAGTATCAGAAAAGAGAAAAGGTGTTTTTACTTCTAAAAATGCGCGATTTGTTTTTGATAACATTCATGAATTGAAAATCTATATGTAACACTTCTGACAGGAAAATTAACTTTATTTCTGTTTTCTTATTTAACACAGCCATGTCAACATGATTATCTAATTTTGAAAACATTCATTAGTACCTTGCATTCCTTTATTTATTTATTCAAAAATTTTGGATCATTATAAACGAAAAATCATCAAATTTATATTCTTTCTATAAATCATCATCCATTGTTTTAGCAATTACGTTTCCGTCTATTACTTTTTTATTGCTTCTAATGTCATGATTAATAAATGTGGACTAACAGTGGGAACATTGTGTGATGGCACAATTAAATCTTCGTGGTTATCTTCAATTAAACATAGTAATTTTTCTAATAATTTTATATAGTCTTCTAAATTTGTTTACGGTCTATAAAGATAAATAGGCCCCGGATAGAATATATCTCCAACAAATAAAAGGTGTTCTTGTATATCTAATAATGAAATTGAATCAGGTTTATGATCAGGAGTAAAAATCACCGTGATTTTTTGTTCATTTTCAAGATCAATAGTATCACCATCATATATAAATTTACTGATACAAAATGGTTTAATTTGATAAGATTTTTTATCAAAATCTTTTGGTAAATAATCTTCACAAATCATACCATATTTCATATCTTTTTTTGTGCTTCAATAAAAAGATCATGATCATTGTTCTTAGAAAATTCACATTCATCACCAATTAAGGATTATTCAAAACGCCAATTATCACCAGCATGATCATGATGTGTATGTATATTAATGGCCATTATTGGTAAAGATGAAAGTTCATTAACAACTTATTTGATATTTCCAATTCCCATTTCCATATCAATAATAAGAGATTTTTTGGGACCAACAATAAGATAAGATATTACTTCTTGATGTTGATATGGTTCATAAATAGCAAAAACAGTTGGCCGAATAGCATATACTTGAAACCATGATTCATTAATCGACATACTTTGAAGTGAAGAATATTAAGGGCGAAGTAATTTATCAAACCACGAAGATATTGTTCAAATGATGACTTATTTGGTCTTACTGTTTTATAGACAGAAAGTAAGTCAACAGCTGCATCGAATTTTGCTTTTCATTGCAAGTGTCAAAATTTTTCTGGGCACGAGTTGTAGTATCTCAAAGATTGTTTACATTATAGAAAAGAAATGAATGACTTAATAACAATATAGACGTGCAGAAACAATTTAAAGAAACCGAATTCATTCAATAAGATATTAATCTTATCATAGTTATAAAGTTCATAGAATATTTCCTTTATTTCAAAAAGTATTATCGTACAAAAATCAAAAACAAACGAAAATTATCTCATGTAAAGATTATTTCATACAATACAATTCAATTAATCTTATCATAGTTAAAAATATTGTGCAATATTTTCTTTATGTCAAAAAGTATTATCATAAAAACATTGAAAACACAGAAAAATTATATAATATAAAGATTAATTGTTACAATTTAATTTAATTATATACATATATATTGCTAATTATTTTTTCATAAGCGTTAAGTTTTCTTTTATTACTATAAATCATTTTCACAATAGTGTGCAGTAAAATATACAGACTAAACTGTAAACAACTAAACGATAAAAAAAAGAGTCAAATATCTTCGTTTCGGTGTATTCAAATGAGTAAATACTTTTGTTGATGATATAGATCTATTCAAGGTACTTTTTTCGTACTGATAACATAAACAAACAATGCTTTATAGTATCATCGTTGATTTCATAAAAGAAATGTCAGTTGTTATCGAATAAAGAAGAAACAAAATATGAAACGACTCAAATAATAACGAGAAAAAAAGTCAAAACAAACTTTTAGTCTTAGTTAGTCTAAATATACAATTAGAAATATGACAAAGTGTGATGCACAAACTCTTCACTTTGACAAGATTTTCATTTTTTCCTCTGTGAAAATTGTTTGTTTTTATGGAATGAAAACGATCATAGAATGACAAAAGACTTCCACACACTCCAACTTAAAAAAAGATCTTATATGTATCTTTCTATTTCTTGAAAAACTTTTCTTGCACACCCTCCCCTCTTCTGTTTTTTTTTCTTCATCATATTTTTGTATATCATTGGATCTCTGAAGCAACAATTCATTCAACTTTATGATAAAAGTCAGCGTGCCATGTTTCGATCATGTGAAATCAACATAACCGTTGTCTTTTAAACAATTGATGCTAAAAGTTTACATTATTTACATCAATTATATAGTTTTTTTTTTAAATATTTGATAACAACTTCCATTTCTTTAATGAAATCAATAATGATACTTTAGAGATATATTTGTTTATGTTATTCATATGAAGAATTTATTTTATTCGACTACACATAGAGATATTTTAATTTTTAATCGTTTAGTTATTTGTTCCTTCCACTCTGTTCATCAAACAAGGCTTGAAAAAAGAAAAATATCCTAGATCAGAGAATATAATCACAAAAGAACAAAAAAAATTAACTTGATGTTATATTGATAAAGTACTCAATGTAAACAATTAATTTTGCATTGTATCTGCAGATTCTTTTGCTAATGATTGATAATAATTAGCTAAAACTTTCCATCCTGCTGGTACCATAAATCCATCAGGAGGTTGTTCACCATTTCGAGCTATCTTTCTCATTCGTGTACCAGATATAAAATCAAATTCATCATGTTTACTTGGATCATAAAAAGCCATAGTTTTCAAACTACGATGATAAGCAGCTACTTTAAATGGTAATATTTGTAATTGATTAAGACCAGGTGCCATTGTTAAAACTTTTGCACCATGAGTTGGATCATAGAGATCTTTGGATTTATTAGATGGATGTGGTAAACCAGCTGGATCACGACCAACAATATAAAAATTTGCTCCGGTACACATACGAGCCTTAGCATGCCATTGTACTTCAGTTGGACCTGCATAACTCATTGGTGATGGAAATATAGCAAGAACAGTTCGAGAACGATCAAGTTTATCATCTTTATCTTCATTTAAAAAAGCTTGATGTTGAGCCATACGTACAGGTAATGGAACGTCATCTTCTTTCGTCCAACCACCTTTAAGCAAAGAAAAGGATTACGAATATCAAATATATTTAAAAAACAAATGAATATCTACCTAAAGGATGAAGAAGAAGAACAGGATTATGAAATCCACGATCAATTAACAATTGACGGGTTGTCTGCATAAGAAGTGAATGACCATTATGAATTGGATTTCGAAGTTGAAAAGCAAATACAGTATCAGCCTAATTAAATTGAATAAAATTAATTATTTCAAAAACTAACTTATTTTTTTTCCTTTTCTTTACTTTCATTTCACGAAAACGTTGTCGTAATTCATTTGGTGTTAAACGAAATTGATCAAGACCATCATTCCATTGAATTCTTTCAAGTACTTCAAGATCACCACCAATTAACCAATCACCACTTTCAAGAATCATCTATACATACATACAATAAAAATAATATTTACAAACTATAATTAAATATTTCTTTTTGATTACTTTAATATGAGGGTGTTCAGGATTTGTAGTACCGAAAATTCTTGAACATCGTTCTTCTTTTCTATGTTCATAAAATTCAGGTTTTTTTAAAATAGCAACAAATTTTTCATTATAACATAGAGCAATCTTTGAAGATGATTTTAGACGTTCTTTATCTTCAGTTGTACATGGTAGAACAATTGGAATGGTTTGATTTTCAACATGACCTTTTTATTTTTAATTATGTAAAATAAGAAAAAAAAAAACCAAATATTTTAATAGAAATATTCACCTTTCATTAAGCAACCAAAATGTAAGCATTGTAAGTATTCTACTTCACGCATAAAACCAGCAAGTGGAGTTGCCCAACCTTCACTTAATACTTGAATCCATTGTAAATCTAACTAAACAAAGAATACCAATAATTTTTCTAAAAATTTATATTTTTCTTTTTTCTTGTTATTTACTTCAGTAATATCAAGTTTATCTAATTTTGGAAATTCATCTAATGCTTTTTCACGCATATCTTCATCCATGAAAAGTTCACGTACAGCAAGAATTAATGTTGGTGATAAAACATGCTAAATATATCAAATTATTTTTTTTACAATTTAAATAATATAAAACATGATAGATTTGCTTTCATTATCACTATAAATTGTTAATACATATCCGAGTTATATCACAAAACTAGAATATTCATGACGCATCTTTTATATTCCTCAATTCTGTGTGTATATTATAGAACGAAAATGTTCCAATTAAACAGTTTTTTCCATGTTTCATAATATCACTTGGGAAGGAAAAGAGATTCTAATGCTTTTGCATTCGAAAATAAATAAACTTACACGTTCAGCTAATTTTCCTATAATCATTTCAAGAGAACGATCGATAGATATTATACTTGTATCAACGATGACATCAGGATGTACTGGTGCTTGATACGGTGCATCAATACCTGTAAAGTCTAAATAAATATTTTTATATAAATAAAAGATAACAATACAAAATTAATTATTCAAACTTTTAAGTAATCCGTTTCGTGCTTTTTGATATAAGCCCTTCGTATCTCGCTGTTCACATACAGATAATGGAGTATTAACAAAAACTTCAATAAATGGAATTTGTGAACTTTCATGTAATTTTCGAGCAGATGCTCGATCCTATTGATTATTTTTTAAAAGATATGTTATTGTTTTTATTAAAACTTTTATCATAAAAATTTTACTTCTTCAAATGGACTAATAAAAGCAACAATACACATCAGACCAGCATCAGCAAATAGTTTTGCAACTTCAGCAATACGTCGTATATTTTCAAAACGATCACTATCAGAAAATCCAAGATTTTTATTAAGACCACATCGAATATTATCACCATCGAGACAATACGCTGGTAAACCTTTGCTTACAATATATTCTTCTAATGCAAAACTTGAAGGTACAACAAAAATAGAGCGCTGGTCAATAAAAAAACCAAAAAAAAACAAGTCAATATATTTTCTTACGCTATGGTCGATTTGCCAGCTCCCGAAAGTCCTAGATAAAAAAGCATACTTCAATAGACAAAAAAATTCAAATTAAGAAAAGAATACTTACCAGTTAACCAAACAGTCGAACCGCGAAATGCTCCACGTTGTCCTAGTGCTGCTGCACGTTTTTCACGCGTAAGTTTTGAAACATGATAAAAAACATTTTCTCGTTCCTAATAAATAAAATTATTTAAAAATAATACAAAGAAAACCAAACAAATATTTTTCACGAAGAAAGATGATAGAAAAAAGTTAAGTTCATACATCATACTTTGTTAGACATAATTGTACGTGTCGACGAAGGTTATAAAAAAAATAACTCAATATGTCATACTCAACATACATTTTTCTTCTTTTTCTGCATGAGTGATTCTTGGTATCTAATAGATGAATTTAATAAGAAAAGAAAAGCTCCAATTTACCTGGATATTTTCCTGTAAGTTCAGATGGATATGATTCATTGAAATAGATTTTTTCTCAATTTTGTGTTCAGCTACTTTATTTATTATTTCATAAAGCTTTTTAAGTAAATCATATTCATCATTAACAATATATAATGATAAATTGTATGTAGATATAAGATTAACTAAAGAATTCCAATCTATATGATCAGATGATTGATTTAAAACAATAAGGTCAATTGTAGAAGAAGATTTGGGTTTTAACAATGATAATAATTTAGGTAATGATACCGATACGGTTGAACAACAACAAATAATTGATGGAAATTCAAATGATTGAGATAAATCAACTTGAATATTATAATCTATATATGATCTGATAAATGTCGACAACGTAGACTGTTGAATAAAGTTTTGGTTTTTAAGAATATTGCCAATGAAATCTATATCGTCTGTGTTTATCTGGCATTTAAATAATGGAATCGATGACATTTAATTTTTATATTAAAATCTATTAATGTGAAAGATAATATTGAAGTAGCTTATCATAAATTGTCGAAGAACATAACCGATGTCGAAGCCGATAGAAATTATTGTTTAATTAAAATCACCATGAAATCATATGAGGGTCAAACAGACTAAACGAATTAGCTAGACGACACACAAGTTAAGATCGTAGTGCGAAGCACATGTGCAAATCGATATTGCATGGAAAAATCTATGAAATTTATAGTACTCTGGGATACGAAAGTTTTTGACTAAGTTTTCATTAATCTTGTTTTTTAATCTCTAATTCGTTTCGATTCCTTATAGATGATGACGGTGATGTTCGATCTAATAAATACTCATCATTACGGCTGGAACTCATTTTCATTGTCTTACACAAAAAAAGCAAAGTTATCACTACAAAATTGTCATCTTGTGAAGTGAATTATGAACAAATGGAATTTCGTATTGAAGAAAAAAATGTGATTATATAGGAACATGAAACTTTGTAACAAGCTTTGAACGAAAATCGCATAATTCTCTAATATTTCGATAGCCGCCACATAAAATCGCGACTGCGAGTTACGTGTCGACAAAAAAAAATACTCAGCAATGAAATGCTGCAAAAAAACTAAATTAGGAAATGTGATTGATTTTTCTACGTACCAATATCATTCATATTTCCTAATTTAGTTTTAATTTATCCTATCTATTAAATGTTCGGACAGTTTGCTATAAGAAAATGAAACGTGTAACTGAAGATAAGAAATAAAACAGGTAGTACTATTTCGATCATGAAATGTCATTCTCACGCTTGGATCATTATTTCATAGCGTTTCGTTCTCGAGATCATCGCGACATAAAATATGGACTTTGGATGCATACAACGAAAAAAAAAGGAAAGAAAATATATTCGCAAAGGACCGGCTACGTGAATGTTTTGCTTGATACTGCATTAATAACGTATAAATCACGATAAAATCACATTATCAACATTGACGATAACAAGTGTTTTACATAAAAGATAACAAGGTAAATACAACTCTAGACTGAAAGATGTAAAAAAAAAAGGAAGAAAAAAAGGTATTTTTTTGACGAAATACAAGATCAGGACGTAAACAAGCTCGATAACCACCTTCGACATTGATTAGTGTTTTGTTGAGCTAAGAAAGGAAGGGGAGCAACAATTGATCTCATGAAATTTGCTAAACTGACGCACGTTCATTAGACTTTATTCATAAGTTCTGCATTCTGACCAATTGATAAAAATAATAGGTAGTTACGACAAGACTATGTCATTCGATTATTCAACTGAGATTTTAATCAATGAAAATCTTCGGTTGTTCAGTTTGAGCTCGACGTTCTATGATTAATTGGTTTTCAGTTAAATTTTATTTGGAAAACTTTTGAATGGTTTCAATAAATAATCAACGTCGATGTTTCAAATAGATAAAGACATTGTCATCTTAACCCTAAACATCGAATGCTTCTCAATATTTTTTCTTTATAATTGAGATAAACGTTATTGAATTATAGCTTTTATATGTACAGGAATGCTCTATGAAAAATAAAATAATAAAACATATGTTGTTTCTACTTGACGCGACTAATAAATCAGTCTTTCCAGTCTAGAATACATTTGTATTTGTCTTAAGCAATGAACAGACGAGAAAACAACTCGGAATGACTTATTACCTTTGAGTTCATATCTTGGACATAAAGAAAGAGAACTTCTAGACTAGAATACTCCGAAAAGAATTCGGTTTCATAGGTTTCTTCTCCATATAATTACGATATTTTTACTGGGTTTTTAACCATAGAATGAGATATTGATAAGGAAATCGAGTCAATGTTTTTTTCTTATCTGCAGGTGTGGGATGTAAGTGCAAATGAAGATAAAGGTGAGAGTGATCGTACGAGTAAGTTGTTGGAATGGAAGCAATATTCATTTTCATTGTAGCCATGAAAATACTAGCATTACCGAAATGACATTTCTTATTTTTATATTTCTAATTTCTACTTTGATGTTATCTGTCATAGATTATTATTGTCAAAAACCATAAGTCTGCAACCAGAGATCTCGTAAAAGCTAATCATGATTTCAGATTTTCTACGGCTTCGTATATCTGATCATCCTAAAAATATCTAGAATGCTACTGTCAAAATGATTGTTTTCTTCTTAGGATATTTAGAGTTAAAAAAATCTATTCGATTTCACAATAATCAGGAAATTCTAAACTTAAAACTTCTCGAGAAAAAGGATTCACTATTTAAATTTCTTGTCAACATTTCATTCTATGATTAAAAATTCAGCCAAACTGTCATATCTCTGCTGAGAAGATCAATGACTTCCAACTTTTTTGAAATTATTCTAATGTAGAGCTCTTCTCTGATATTAAAACTAATATATTGCTTGTCCATAATTAATGCACTCAGGTATTTTAAACCTTCACATTGTCGCAACTCAATAAATTAAATTGACAAAGAGCGCTGAAACTTACACCGGATCTAGTTGTCTGTAAGTTCTAGTTCTACTAAAATTTTCATTTAATTTGGCTGAATTTTAATGACTCTAGGAAGATAGAAAGTCTTGATAGCGTACTCATCCAATAGTAGTACCCCTGACATCCGAGTGATCCACAAAGACTCACATTTCTCGAATGCGTTTGTAACTAAGATAACAGACCTTACGACGATCACATCTTTTCTTTAGGAATTTGTTCCTAGAAAGAGTTATCATCACAACATCACGGTAACGCACTCATCGTTCTTTTTTTACGCTTTATAAAAAAAAAGGAATTTTTTCAATTTTGACAACAACATCAGATATTCCACTGATGTCAAACTGTAGCTCAAACTTCAATGATACTAGTGTTATTTCCATTTTTTTTTAGTGATACAGTAGTATTTAAAATATGTTAAAGGACGATAAGACTCTGTTTTCGTAATTTTTGCACTAAAAAATGCATCATTTTGGCTCACACCATCGTCGTTATTCAAAAATAAATGGCATCTGCCGATAGAGAGTATGTGAAAACCTATGAAAAATGTTTGAATAAATAAGTTCGGTTATCTCTTGCTCGAGCAGTATTGGACGATGATCTTAGGTGTCTAGTGGTATCTAATAAAAATATTTTTCTATTAGATTCGAAAAAAACTAAATCTAAAAAAATGCTAATATATATTTTGTTCTAAAATAGTACTAACAGTAATATTTTCCATATAAATTTAAGTAATCTCTTAATATATAGCAGAGTTCTCAAGCAAATACTTCACTTAAAATCATGCTGTCGATTATAATAACGTAACTTTGAAACTTCTCCAAATGGATTACTTCGACAGTATATTAAGTCTATAGATCACCTAATTTACTTTATCATCAGTCATAAAACTCAAACGATTTTGTGTAACACTACATAGAAAAGTCGATTTATCCATTAGAACTAACACGTAATACGTCTCTTAGCATATATTCCATTCTAATTCAAAATCTTCTCACATTCTATCTAACAATCAACAATAATTCTATGCAATAGTTATGTTTTTCCTTGTAAAACTCTTCATTAAAAAAAAACATCTGCCTTTTCTTTTCCTCAATACATTTCCTCTGCATGACTGTTAAAAAAGAACATAACAATAATAAAACTTCTCGATTACATCACGACACGTCAAATAATTAAGTTACATAAAAACATTCTGTTTGATGTCATCAAAACTTTTATCCAAAAACATAAAATCAAAAAAAAATAATAAAAAATAACTTTCACCAGTCAAATTGTCCTTCTTTTATATTAATAAATTCGTTCTTTATATTCTTGTGAAACAAAAAAAAAATGAAAAATAAAGTAACCATCATGAATTTGAGAATGTTTTTCTTTTTTTTTTTTTTATAACATAGCATAGAAATAAACAACAAATGAAATGAATTAAAAAGAAAAAAAAAAGTACATGTGTATTGAGACAAACTATTCATTTATTTTTTCTTTTGCTTTTGTTTTTTTTTTTTCTTCATAGTATTGTCTGTAATTCACTGTGTACAACCTTTATTTTATTCTTTTATTGTTTCAAAGAATATTAAATATCTTTTTTAATTCAATCATTAACTGCCAATCAGATTTTTGCATATCATCACGAAAATGATCTTTAACAATATCAATTGATTCACGAGAAATCTAAAACCAAATAGTATAGATCGATTATGTATTTTGTTACATATGAAAATAGTTAGTGTGTTTTCTTTACTTTGCTCATCAATAAATCATTTTCATCAAAATGTCGACCAAACATTTTTGGTGCTTCACCACTAATTGGTTCAATTTTAATACAAACTTCTGAACCTTTTCTTGCTACATCTAATGGTTTATGATTTAATTCGATACTAACAATTCGTCCAAGTTCAATAAACTATAGAGTTTATATTTAATGAAATGATTTTTCTTTTATGTTGTTTTCTTTTTTATTATAAATATACATACTTCTTTTGATGGAACACATATTGGTGTACCTAATTTAACAAAACCATCTTCAATAAGTACCCCACATATAATTGGATCACGTGAATTAAATATATATTGTGGTAAAACTCGTAATTTGCATGGAAATACAGCAAGATGACGATATTTTTCTTGATTTTCTTTTTTGATACGTTCACGATGAGCAATAAACATATCAAATAAATGATAAATTATATCAGCTTGAAAGATTTTTACACCTATATATAAAGAAAAACAGTTTTTTAGAATACTACCTGCAGAATGAAACACATGAAATACGATGTAGTTGCTGTTGCTAATCACAAAAGGATTATTTGATTTTATCTATTTTAGAGCATATGTCTTCGCCGTCATTTTACTTCATTTTTCAGAAATGTACTCAGTGTTTTATCCAATATGAGGGCAGCACCATTCTACAGTTCATGGTTATTTTATCACGTCGTAAGTGTTTGTGTTTCTAGGAATAGGTGTTTATCCTCCTGGAGTTTTAAGTCATTTTTCCGAAAAAGAAAAATATGGTTAAAATACTGAATGCAATAAGGAAATAGTTCATACAGGATGTGGATGTAAATATTCCTTTCTAATACACCTACACACGCACCCATCAATTTCTCAGAGACCTCTGGAATGAGCCGTTTTTGGCATATTTATCACAGTCTTTGAAAGGACAAATTTCTATCCTATATAGTTCAACAATTCGTTTTCAATCTGGCTTCACAAATATAAAAAATTTGCTAATAAAATCAACCGATTTAACATACCAACGGTATCAGCATGTTCTTGAGCATCTCTTTCAATTCGAACATCAAATGCTAAAATAACTGCCCATCTAAATAAATAATAATTTTCATGTTTAAAAACAAAACAACAAAGCAAAGATACAAATATAGATTTGTTTTTTTTTGTTACTTACTGTGGATCTCTTTCAAGTTGTGTTGATGCACGAATAATATCTTTTCGATGAACAGGACCAATATTAATACCAGCATACTAGAAGAAATATTTTTTTAGGTTTGATTTCTTTTTTAAAAATTTTTAAAGTATTTTACTGGAATATTTGATGTTTTTAAGAATTCAAGTAATGCTTCTAATGAACCTAATGTTGATGCTTGAACATGAACACCATTTTCTTTTAATTTGATTGAACTAAGAGCAGTTTTAAGAATATTTTGAATTTCATTTTTGAAATATTCAGTTTCATCATCTCGTCGACCAACAAATAATGGTAAACCAGCCATAGATTTTTCTAAATCTTTAGCAGCAATCTTTATACCACGAGCAGCTTTTACGGTTTTATAATTTTGATATTGATTCTAAATTTTAAAATTATATAAAAAAACATAGATTTAATTGAAAAAAACAAAAACGAATGACCTACTCTAACACGTAATTCTCTATTTGGTTCTGGCATGAGAAGACCTCGAATTTGTGTTACAATGGGACCTTCTTGACCAGCAACAATAATTGTATCACCAACTCGTAAATGTCCATTGACAAGAACAACATCAATTGTTGTACCCAAACCACCAATTGCTTTTACCTAGAGCATAAAAAGAAAAATTAGTAATCTTTTATCGATTTGAAATACTTCTTTTGAAATACAGTAACTCATATCTTGTCTTATATTTCATGATATTTTATTCAAATTATTTTCTTGTTTAGAAAAGCTTTTACTATATTCTCGATTAAGCTTTATCATAATTAGTGTAATATTCAAGAATACAAAAATTCATAAATGACAAAGGTTATATTATATTCTTGTTGCAAGTTTCTATAAATTCGGATTTGTCTTATCGAGTATATAGGTGAAAAGGATAGAACACTCTTGAATATTGGGTTTATTATCTTTATTCTTGTTAGATGGCGTCATCATATATATATATATACATCTCTGGCCAAAAGTCTGTCTCTATCTTACTCCCTTATCGTTTTCGTATCGAATCGTTTTGGATCAAAATGAATGTTGCTTACAAGAATGGCTTCAATGCTGTATTTTCATGTATAGTATGATTGATTACGACCTGTTTCAATGGAATTTGTACGTCATTTAATAAATTGAGCAACAATACAAATGAATTGGTTGATAAAATGCTTCATGGTTAGGTTATCTTTTTTTTGATATTTTCTAAATACTTTATTTTATCTGTATTTGTATAACTGACTAAACCATATCCTTGGAAGAGTCTTCGAAACTCTGACAAAGAGAGCTTAATGACTCAAATCAGTAAAACAGTTAACAGATACAAAAAGAAAAGAAATAACCTAGTCGTGAAGCATTCTATCAACTAACTCATTTGTAGTGATACTCAATTGTGTTGAAAGACATAGTCTTCTTTGAAGCAAACTGTCATCAATCATAAACTACACTACAATCAAGTACTGAAGCCATCCTTGTAACCAAAATTAACTTGAGATCAAAGAGGTTCGATAAGAAAAGGACCGGGAGAAGACTTTCACCAAGGCGTATACACATTCCATCTAAATCATCGTCTGTTCTGTGGTCATAAGTATATGCATATACATTCTCTTCGGTAGTTTAGGTATATTCATTTTCTTTCTTTATAGATCGTGTATATTTTCTTTTTTCTCGAATTCTTTAATGAATTTTCTATTCTCTATTATCTTCTAGTGAATTTCTTTCGATTCCGCATTCTTATATATACATAAGGTAGTGGAAGAAAGTTGAACACCAATGTATTTTTGGTTTTGTTTTTAATAATTTTAAGCATTTAGCTCGAATCTAGATCATGATTTTGATAGCCAATGGAGTTTTCCAATGTAATGCATTCTACAATAAATGAGCCTTGATGGCAAGATTTCTAAAAAACAAACACTGTAGTTGTCAGAGCTGAAAAAACTTTTTCGCAGCTGTTGTTTAACAATGTCAATTTAAAGAGAACAAAATAAGGTGTCGCTGCATTTTCTACGACCTGTTGTTAAAAACTTTCAGCTGACTTTGAGCTAATTGCTTAATATTATAGAAAAAAATAAATAAAAAAATACATTGTTGTGAAATTCTTTTTCGCTACATTTGATATATGTATATATCATTTGCTTGAAACAGTAAAAACAGTGGACATACGTGATAATACAATACTTATCTTTGACTAACAACTAGTTAGTGATCGACTACCTTCATAAGCTGATTAGTCAGTAGTCATTGAAAGCTCTGACAAGGATAATTCTTCAATAGTTCATTGATGATGTTTTTCCTAATAAAGATCGCCATGTGATTTTACTAAAATCCTCTTAAATATCTATTAAAATCTTTATATTCGTTTCATATCATTTATTATAATAATATGATATTTACTATAACGTATCCTTTATTGCTCTTTCCAACAATCATATATAGATACAAATTATACCTCTTATCAATAGAACTAGAAATGAACTAACCTCCATGACAGTTGCTTGTAATTCATCAGTATATGATAAACGTTTAGCTAAACTTGTTTGACATCTTTCAATAATCATTGCGATTAATGAACCCATTCCATCACCAGTAATTGCTGATGTTGGTACCATTGAATAAAATTCATTTGGATCAGGATTTTTATAATAAAGTGCAACATTAAGACCCTTCAAAAAGAAAAGAATTTCTAATCTTTAAAGACAACAAAAAAAAAAAATCTTTTTTCTTATACTTGTTCAGCAAATTGAACAACAATATCATTACAACGTTTCTCAAATTCATTTCGTGTGTTTTGACTTTGTTCCTGTAATACAAGTTCAACATTTTTTTTATTATCACCTTTCCAACTATACAAACGATCGATCTAAATGTATATATGAAAAACAAAAAATTATCATTCAAAAAAAACAAAAACAAAAATGTTATTCAATAATTCTTAACCTTATTTAATGCAATAATAAATGGTGTTTTTCTTTCCATTAATAATTGTATTGATTCAAGTGTTTGTGGTTCTAATCCATGCATTAAATCAACAACAAGTATAGCCAAATCACAAAGAGATGAACCACGTGATCGTAAGTTTTTAAATGATTCATGTCCAGGTGTATCAATAATTAAAAGACCCGGAACAATATATTCACCTTCACGTGTTACTAATTTTCTACACATTCTCGTTCGTTCACGTAGTGTTTCTAATGGTACATTAGTTGCACCAATTTGTTGTGTTATACCACCAGCTTCGCCATCTTGTACATGTGTACGACGTAAATTATCCAAAATTTTTGTTTTACCCGTATCAACATGACCCAATACACAGATAACAGGTGCACGAAGTACTTCAGTTGAACGACGACTTTCACATGTTTCATGACGTCGTCGTAAACGACGACGTACACGTTCCATGGGAGTTAATTGATCATTTTCATCGTCATCACTTGATGAACTTGTTTCATCACTTTCATCACTTGATGTCTCTTCATCGGACGATTCAGCTTCTGAACTTTCATTATTTTCTTCATTTGTAATTGTTGTTGCTGATGGAATAGAAACTGTATGTTGAAAATTATTACGATCATCTATGAAATTAAAAATGCAAGTCACATTTGAGAAAAGAATTATGTTTATTGAATAAAGATTTTATAAATTTATACAGATGTATTTTAATAGGCTTTCTTTGAAGATAATTAATGAACTTTTTTGTTTTGATTTTATTCTAGTAATAATATTCAAAATTTATGTCATAAGAATTTTAAATGATGAGTTAATTGTTAATCTCAAAATTAATTGCATAAATAACTCAATCAAATTCGTGACAATGACTGTAACTAATCTAAAGTGATATACTGATTTGTACACGTCTTTTATTCTATCCTTTCTAATTTTTAATTTAATGGCAATTGTTCTATCATGTAAGACACAAGTATATATTACTTTCTGTTGATGGAGATTCTGGTTCTTCAGGATTAACTGTTGTTTCTTCTTCTGATTCTTGTTCCCAATTATCTTTCAAATTTTCTTCCTCCTAAAAAGAACACAAATGTTTATGAGATAACCTTCACAACTTGAAAATAGCTTTTGATTATAAACTCTGTATATAAGATAGACTCCAATCAAGTATAAGAAATCTAGAAAGTATAAGGAACCTAATGCCTTCACTATAGAATTATGGCTGTTTTACTGAAATTTTAGCCTATAGAACGGTAAGTGTAAAAGAATCGGCTGATGATATTTTGACCTGAAATTTCAATTCAAAAGGATGTTCATTTCACAAGAAATCGAATTTTCAACAAACATGAGATTCTCGAATCTTTCGTGCCATATGAATTAATTTTGTGAATTCGGTATGTCATGAAGAGAACATCGTTTTGAACTGAAATTTTTGTCTGAAAATTTCAGCTCATTTCATTCTTTTGTATATATCGTAGAATAGGCTTAGACTTCAAGAACACAGTTATAATTCTGTACGGAAGGCCTAGAGATCCTTATAATCTTTTGAGTTCTTAATAACTTATTGTGGTCTACTTTATGCACAGAGTCCAAATTCAAAAACGGAAGACTGCCTTGTTAGATAGAAATAAAAAGAAAAACGCAAATCATCGTCTTTTTATTTTCGAAAAATATTCTTACTTTAGCAGATAGTTTCTTATCTGTTGCGGTTGATGTTTTAGCTGCTTGTGATTTTACAGTTGTTGGTTCAGCATTATCTGCTTCTAACAAAATAAAAATAATAATCTTAACTAGAATGATTAAAAAATCAAGATATACGTTTTGCATTTGTTTGTGTCTTTTTTCTTCGATCATCATAAAGAACTCGTTTTTTAACAGGTTGTTCTCCATTATTCGGTGTACCTTGTGCTGTATTTCGTGCTGGTACTTGAATTCCAGCTGCTTCCAATTGAATACGAGCACGTTCACGTTTTTCTCTTTGTTCTTTTGTTAAATAAGAACCTTCTTCTTTTTTTCTTTGTATGCGTTCTTTTTCTTTTTGTTTCTTTTTTTCACGACGTTCTTTTTCTAAACGTATTTTTTCTTCATGTTGTTTGTCAAGTTCTTCTTCTAAACGTAGTTTTTCTTCTTCATCTTTAAGAGCTTTTAATTTAGCTTCTTCTTGTTTTTTCTGAAATTCTTTCATAAGACTTAACTGAAAAAAAAAAAAGAAAATTAATTTTTTTTAAATTACAAAAAATACTGATTTTGTTCTTTGTTAATGAACACATACAGTTTTAGCATCAACACCACCTTTGCCTTTCTTCTCAGCTACTCCTTTCTTTTTATTTTTTGATGATGTCTTTTTGTCATCAGTACCACCAATAGCAGCTGCTAATTCATCTAGAAAGAATTAAAAAACTGTAGAAAATTGAAGAAAAAAAAAATTTTTAATTTTACCTTCTTTAATTTCGGATTGTATTGTTGCTGATACATTTTCATTTTGATTTGTTGATTTTTCTTCAAAACCTTCATTTTCCTAGAAGAGATTGATACTCGTTATGAATATATCTATTAGTATTTTAGCCAAGTTTTCTCGTCTAGGATGAGTCAATCCGATCTTGAGAGGGACATCGCTCTCTCTCAATCCTCACACTGGATCAAACATTGATGTTTATATGATAAAAGTAACTTACGTTTGGTTTTATTTCTGTTGTTACTTCTAAAAAGAAGAATTTATTGTGTAATAATTAATAAATTAGATTTTCACCTTTATTTTCTTCTTTTTTCTTTTTCTTCTTTTCTTTTTTAGCTTCTTTTCGTCGATCTTTTTCATCAAATTTTTCATCAATTTCCTTTTAGAAAACAAATAATTGATTAAAAGAATATTTCTTATTTGCAAAATCAAATTTACTTTTAAAATATCTTCTAGGTCTTGTCCTTCACCTTCTTTAAAATTTTCTTCATCAATATTTGATATTGTTGTTGTTGTTGTCGCTTGTTTATTTTTTTTATTTCCACTTTTTTTTGTTGATACACTTGTTGATTCAATAGCAGCTAATAATGAATCAATATCTTCATCTTCTTTTTTAGTTTTTGATGAGTGAGGTTTCTTTTTAGTTGTTGATTTTTTCTTTGAAGAAGTTGATGTTGACGTTGGTTTAACTACTGTTGTGTCTTCATCATTATCATCATTATCGCCAGCTTCATTGTCATCATCAGAACCTAATAAAGCAAATTTAGCTTGAAACGAAGTAGTTGATGGAACATTTTCAACATCATCATCATCTTCTTCAACATCTTGAGTTATATTTGTTTTTCTAAATTAAACAATAATTTAATTATTTATTAATAAAAAAGAAATTTTTTTACTTTGATATAGGTGTTTTTTTGCTTTTGTTTGCCATTTCTATTCAGCATTCGGATGAATATGAATCTGAATTAGGAAAAAACAGAAGTAATAAAAAGAAATTGAACAAACACTTTATTTAAAATTGTAAATTTCGTAATTAGGAATAGTAGATTTATTTAAAATGACGTCAGAGGATAATATGTAACTAGTAGATATTAAAACGCACAAAGGTTAAGTGCAATGAAAATTTTTTTTATTTATTGCCCAACAAATACCATATAGGTTTTCATTCGATATGATGTAATGTAAGTCTAACCAAACCTGAAGGAGTATTTTCTATCTGAAAAGATGGCGCTAGATAAAATAAAAAGATTTTTTTGTCTATATACTCAATTTTTATGCTTTAACAATCAGTATTAGTGATTTAAGAAAGGAATGAATTTCCAAGAGGAAGGATATTAAAAGTCATGCAAGAAGTTTCAACCTCGTTGGCACTGCTAGAAAATGATATCACATTTTATTTCTAGTACATGTATTAGTAAGCGCAAAACTGGAGCCGAAAGTTCAGTGACCAAAATCGGGACTAAAAACGATTGATCTCGTTGATCTCTACATACATCGTCAAATATTGAGTTTTTTTAAATTAGGTATTGAACTTTTCAAACTATGTACTATGCAAAACCTAGTTTGTTACTATATAAAAATCACCGATCACGTAATAAAAAGCATACTGAGCTATTAAATACAAGCAAACAGAAAATCATCTGATAGGTAAGGGTCTTATCAAGTCTAACAGCTTGTTTGATGAGATCCGACTGTAACTAATGGAAATCAAATCGTTTAGTCTGAGGGGATTGATCTGACTTGACTAACTCTGTGTTGAAGATAAAAATTAAAAGATTGTTTTTCTAAATTTTATTAATTCCATTGAAATCATTACTTCTCAAGATAAATAAAAAAAAAACGATAATATCAATGCAAGTTTCGTACAACAAAACAACGAATTTAATGAGACTTCCATCAGTCAGTATCCAATTTAATATTTTTTGTTTTTGTTTTATTAAAAAAATCAGACAGATTTTAGATTCTACATAGAAGAAAACACATTTACAGTTGCATTTACAGACATATGCATATATATTTATATATATGATTGTAGTGATCAAATAATAACAACCGTCGCAATAAAAACATAACAACAAACGAAATAGAAGAAACATTATATCTAAATAACAGACAGAAAAATATATATTACATTTGAACTTAAGATATTATTGATTAGACTAGTCCCATTTTTATTTATCTTTTTTATATCATAGTTATTGGCACCGGTTATGAGTATGAAAAGTAGTCGCATATATTTGCTCGTTAAAATAAACGAAATTTTCATCAAATACTTTACATTAATGGATTTCGTATTGTATTATAAATACTTTTAACTATAAAACGAGGTATCATAGCCGTAACAATTGTTAATATACTTGCAAACCAAAATCGACCTTGTCGAAATGTTTCATATGATACTTTATATGGACTTTCACCTGGAATACATTGAATACATGTAGCATCAAATATTAATGTAAAACCAAGGAAAACAAGTAAACTAAATGCAATTGAAGCTATAATTGACCAATCGATTCGAGATGTTTGTAAAAGAACATGTATTAAAGATGTTATTATCATACAGAATGCCATTGAAAACCCAAATGATGATACATCCATATATGATTCATTTCGATAAGCAAAATATCCCATGAAAAAAATCACTGTACTTTGCCAAACAGCATCAATAATATTTACCCAATATGACCACATTCGATAACATCTAGCATGAAGTGTATATTCATATAATTGAGGCTCGTATAATGCTCGTTCAGCTGGAACATGTTGATCGAATAGAGCAGCAGCACACTTAATATTTAATTAGATATTTTTTAAATACGATTTAATGGATTATTCTTACCTGTGGGAGAACAGTAAATAAGCTTGAATATAGAGTAAGATCTATAGAAAATAGAAAAAGTCAACCAGAGTACAATCTCTTAACTGCAAGCACTAATCTGAACTATTGCCCATTTAAAAACAAAGGGCGTATGGGTCTTTTTTTGCATAACTTTTGATAGAACCGCTGTAGAGGGCTGCGGCTTTCACCGTTGAAAAGAGGAGATAAAGACGCAAAGAATGGAGTATTATAGGTTTCTCTAAGAGATTTTCTAAAGTTTTCTTAATCAATTTTCTGAAAAATAACGGAAAATCAGTTTCTCTAAAAATACGAAAAACGCAAAAATGTGATTGTTTTTTTTACAGAAATTGATAGAAAAGTTGGCTACGAGTTTCACATAAAATGCCTATAACTTTTGAACGGGTAAGTGTAAAAGTCTGGCCCTTGCGGAGCTTTAAAGATCTTCATTTAGCGGTTCGAATGCATACCTGATTATTGGAAATTGGCCGTAGTCACCTTACGGAGTATGTTGGTTTTCAAAAACGTCGATTTAAGTTCTTGATAAAACTAGGTGAAATTACTGTAATATACAGCTCGATGCGTCTTCATCTCCTCTTTTTAACGGTGAAAACCACAGCTCTCTACAGTGGTTCTATCGAAAGTTATTCAAAAAATACCCACCCGCCTTTTATTTTGAAATGGGCAGTAGCTAAAAGCGTTCACTTTACGTAACTACTCGTTATTAGAAAATTTTAAGTTTCTTTGTTGCGAGGCCTAAGTATTTAGTTGTAATTTCTTTTCGACTGCACAATGTAATCTTTTTCTTTTCTACAAAAATTTATTAATTTAATATTTTTAATCGCAGATAAATCAACACGTGTTCGATGTTCCTAGTTGCTAACACAAAAACAACGAGATGGCACATCAAGCATTAATACTGTTATCTAATGTCGTTTTTTTTATTTTAAAATACACGTTTACTCCATATCCTTTTTATGTGTCCCATGATTGTTTATCACAACGCAATATACATGACATCATATTTTTCTCGTTCTGTACATGACTGATACAACATATGTTACTCAAATTATAGAGGTTATTACCGTATATGAAATCGGAACTAAGCACCTATAGGGAGGTATTAATTATGGAGATATGCTCATATAAATGAGTTTTACTGTATTTTCAAATAAATCGCCAACGAAAAAATCATAATCATTATGATATATGTACATGTATACAAAATAAATAACTCCTACACATTTTAGCTTCGATTTCATTTTTATCGTTATCAATGAAAATTCATTTGTAAATATAAATTGATTCTTGATGATAAGAGACTTACATAAAGAATGAAGAGTAACAGCACCAGAAAATCCATTAAATAATTGATGATAAAATATAACAAAGACATAAGAACAATTATGCATAAATGTATATAAGATTAGTTCACTTGTTCGAGTAAAACACCAAGCACCATGAACAAGTAAAAGACGACGAAGACATTCAAAACGATCAACAGCAAAATCACCAGCAGCTACTGCTTGTGATCCTTCACGACCATAAACAGCAACACCACAATGAGATTCACGAATCATTCCAACATCATTTGCACCATCGCCTATTGCTAATATTCGATGTTTAAATACTGATTTAGCAGCGGATACAAGTTCACGTTTTTGTGTTGCTGATACTCGACAAAATATTATTGATTGACATTGTGATGCAGCTTGCATAAATTCTTTTGCTTTATATCGAAGAATATTATCTTATAGATACATATAAATATATACAAAATAAATCATTTCTGAAAAAAAAACAAACATATCAAAAAAGTCTTACTTAAATCATCACCAGTAACAACAAGTGAAACAGGTAACTTTTGTGCAGCTATAACTTCACTCGTTCGAGCTATTGTTTCACCAGTACGTATATCATCTGGAATAGCTCCATCACGAGTACCTATTTTATCAAAATTATAAAATCAAAAAAAAA